ATGTCTGCACACAGCGGCCACGTTATCGTCTGTCGAGTGCTCAGACTGAATGTGTTTCCTGCGACACATTCATCAGCTTCTTACTGAGGTTCAGTGTCTGATTCTGCAGCTCAGACAGTCACCGCGGTTCAAAGGTCAGAGCTTCACACATGAAAGTGAAAGTTGGAGTGTCGGTCAGAGAGAGGCTCGGCTCACCAGGCGGTTCGTTTTAAAGCTTTACTGACAGGAGACACAAACCGTCCTGCTTCCAAAGCAGGTGTGAACGTATGCTTGTGTAAGTGTGTGTGTGTGTGTGTATTCTCTGCAGACAAGTAACAAAAACCAGCCAAGCGTGCAACTTGTGCTGACCTTCTGATGATGTCACTACGTCACTGGGACCTGATTGGCCGGTGTTAAGGACGTCACAGCGCCATGAGCGACTTGATGACATCCACCATTTTTATTTGGGGCGTGAAGCGAGCAGCTGCTTTTTTCGACTGTAGCAGCTTCAAGTTTGTTTTGTGAGTTTCTGTGAGAGCAAAAATAAGTTTGTGCTGGAAAATCCTCGTGTTTGTGTTTCCAAAGGAAAACAGAGCCAAAGCAGCGAGGCTGGAAGGACGGAGCCTGAGCTCCAGGCTGATGGTAACAGCAGACTTTGTGGTGTGGTCAGGTGGAAAGTCTTAAACATGTGAAGGAAGAAACAAAGAAAGAAGACAGCGTGAACAGATTCTTCTATCCTCTTCATCTGCAGCCATCACAAGAAAAACAAACTCCAGGAACTATTTCCTGCATCCAGCGAAACTATTTTTAGATTGTCCATGTACGGTCATCAGAGACGCTCTTCGTCTATCTCACATTCTTCTCCTCCTCCTCCTGCCTCTACTAGATGTTCTGTGAGGACAAAGTTCCTTAAACTAAAAAAGAAAAGCAGCTGATGACAGAAATATTTAAAAGAGAAGAAGACTAACAGCAAACAGCCTCATGAACACACACTCAGAGAGGCTTGTATAAGCTGTGCTCTGCTTCCATAAAAACACAACAAAGCAGGACGATGTGAGACACGCGTGTGAAAGCAGTCAGGAAAACCGTGTCTGTACTTGTATGACACTCTTCACTTAGTTTCAAATGTGCTTGTTGCACATTCACGTTTTTATTTCCTGCATATTTTATTCAGTCTGTGTGTGATTTTTCTAAATGAGGAACATTTCTGCACTGACT